TGCCACTCTTACTTCTGTGCTGCCGCTGGCAGGGCGCTGCGTTCAAAGCTGGATGCCTGGCCACCAGCCACCGCTATCCTGCTTCCACTGAAGGCGTACAGAAGAAAGTGTTTCAACCTTGCAACCCCCCTCCCCCGCACCTCCCTTTTGGGTCAGGACCCCCAGTTTAAGAAATGCTGGTCTCCACTGTGAAATCTGTATAGGGTAAAAGTACCCAAAAACACAAATTTTTACCAGGGGAGACCAGTGACCTATTTTTCATGACGGTGAATTTGGTAGGGCCCTAAATATAACACATGCCTTTTTGGTGGTTGTTTCTTCCATAGCTCAGTAAAACTTCCTCCTTCCCCTAAATCAACAAAGATAACATTTTAAAGATGAATGAAATGTTTGAAATAAAACAACACAAACCTTTTTCAACTTCTCAGGGTGGAATGCTGTGAAATAGAGCAATGGGCTGTATGCTGCCTTCTATGATGGTGCTGCACTGTCTGCTCTTCTGCTTCAGTGGGAGCAGTGGTCATATTCATAGTGCTGCATTCACATTGCACAGGACTCTACACCCCTTCATAGCCTCCCTAAGTCTTGCTTCCACCTGTTGCAAAAAGGGTTGCCAACTCTGACTGAAGCTGTTCCAGATTTTCCCCCCCATATATGTCATTTTCTTAAAATATCCTATAAAAACCTCTCGGATTGCTTTCAATAGTCACTGGAAGACCAATGCCAATTGCAGGAGCCTCCAGGCCAATCCTGGAGGGTTGGCAACCCTAGTTGCCAACCAAACTAGTTCTGGTGCAAGAGAGCCCTGCACACTCTCAGAGGAGGGGGCAGGATTTGCCCCTAGCAAAATATTTGGGTTGCTTTTAAAATTACATACAAGTACATCTTAAAACAGGGTATTTGAAAACCATGTCCTCTTTACTGTACCAGCAAGGACATATACTCAGGCTTTAGTGTTTTTACTAAAAAAGGAATAACTCTCAACACCTAAATATCATCAGGAATAGCAGCTTCTTTATCTGCTTTAGGTGTGTGAGGAGTGGATGTATTAAAAAGACACTGAACACAGGTCTTAGAGGGTTTTTATTTTAAAAAAAAAAGCCTTTCACTTACTATTAAAGTTCATTTCTTGTAATTTAGGGAACATGTATAGTCTAATGATTTAAGATCTTAATAAATAAAAGTATTTTAAAGCATGCATGGTTCCTGATAGTTTTATAAGGCTGCATTTCATGAAACAAATATAATGGCCTCCTTATTGTGAAACTATTCATTTTAAAAAAAGGCTTGTTTTTAGAGTGTGGTTTTGGACTTCCAGCCGGCTTACACAAGCTCAGTAGGACTCCACCCTACATCCTGTACAGAGAAGCAATTCACAGGACTGTCCATTGTTCTTTTTGGTTTCTGCATGCACTCTGATCTTAAGTATGGGAAAGTGTGGAATATGAAAAATATTAATGCAAAAGAACTTTAGCAGCTCAAATAATGCTCAGTCCTGCAAGGTGCTGAACCTATGGAGTTTCATGGAAGTTGAAGGAAACTCAGCGCAACACAGAAGTGGATCTTTTGAAAAGAATACAGCATAACTGTGCTTCCAGTAAAAGTATCTTATAATGTTTGATGCTATTGGTAATTCAGCAGTGGTGTTAACTGTATATACACTTGCAGCGTGACAATTATATGTATGCACCTGTGTCACTAGGAAAAACTGAGTTTTTTTTTTTATTCACAAAATTTCAAAATAAAATAATTCAGACTGCTCCTAGACACACACTTTCTGTTGTTTTCCCAATTACTGCACTGTTGCTGCTCAGTTATTATAGTGTAAAGCAGGTCAGGGATCTAGAGAATATCAGGCACTGTAAAAACTAAACTGGAGCTCAATGGATCTGAATCTGCCACTCTTACTTATGCCAAGTGGTACCTTACTCAGTAAGCAGTCCCACTGAAATTAATGTGCCTACTCACAGAATAAGTTGTTCTTCAGCCCAATACAAGCAGTAATATCTGTGAGATTATTCGATTATTTTTTTTTGCTGTTTTTGTTAATTTTTCCTTTTCTCGCCCCCCTTCCCCCCCCCCCCCATTTTGTCTTTTTGGACAATACATTTTAGGAGTGAGGTGTTGCTTTTAATTTTGTCCATTAAAACCAAAAAAGAAAAATCAGCACTGTTAGTGTGGGAAAGAAGTATCAATAGCATCGTTTTACAAGGAAAAAAAAAAAGTCACTACTTGTATAGTGCAGTTTGTTACCTGCTTGGCTTATTTGTCTGTGTCTTTGTTGGTCAAACTGTGGTTTAGGCAGTTTTAACATATTGAGAGCTCAAGATTACCAAAAGAACGTTTAAGCTATGTTCTCTTCCAGCAATCATCTGAAAGGACTCACCCTTTATTGCCAATCTGCTGAATGTTCAGCAGTCCCAGAATTTATGGCACATAACATAGGATTAAATAGCAGCGATGTTCTCTCTAATTTTTTCCACCCATGTGTGGAATAAATTATGTGCACCAAGGTAAGGTGAGGATGTGCACCATCACTGGAGGCAAAAAACCTAGATAGAATTTTTTTTTTTAAAGTTACCAATAGGGATAATTAACTCTAGCCAAGACAAGTTAGGCATTTTAGAACTCACTACTCAAAGAATTAAATTTAAGTGTAAGAGAAAAATAAAAATTATGAAATGCATAGACCAGTCAAGAAACTAAAATTACACACTTTGAAAGAATAAAATTACAGAGAATATGTGCGTTGCAGGAAGTACCAAGAAGTAACTGTTGGGAGGTGTGTGACGCACTGTATGTGTGCTGGTTGCTGGGGAAGTTTCTGAGAGACGCCCATCCGCTGTCTCTTTAAGGCACTCACTGTAAGCTCCCCTCCTACTGAACAATGTCCCCCCCCAGTATGCGGTACATGGGGAGGGGGTGAGACTGTGTGTGTGACAGAACAGACAGAGATTGTGTGTGCTGGCTGCTGGGGAAGTCTGTCTCTTTAAGGCACTCACTCACCAGAAGGCTTGTTCAGACCTCAGAGCTGCAGCAAGTCACGAGTCCAGAGCCCTGTCCCCTGCTCTGTGGAGATGGAGTACAGGGGAGGGGTCACCCTGATATCAGCACTTTCTTTCCTCCCCTGCTCTGCACGGCTACCAGGAGGGTCCTGGGAGCAGCTGCAGGAGCAACAAAGCTGCAAAGCAGTGGGGTGGAGGGGCACCTGAACATGCTCTGCTGGCTTGGTATGCGTGGCTCTGCTAATCAACTGCAGGGCACTTGACTCTCTCCTGGGTGGCCGCCCAACTGCTCATCTTACAGGGAACGCATGATTGCAGGCCTTTGAATGAACAAGATAAGATCTACATTTTAAATCATTTAGAACTCCTGTATGTTTCCGAGTGAATGCTTCACTCACATCCCTTTCCTTTTTCCCCTTCACCTCTTCGCATACAAAATTATCTTAAAACAATGTTTTAGACAGATCTTTGTGAAAACCAGGGACTTCAGAGGTTCCTGCGAATAGTTTTGTAGTTTTTGGTTCGAGTCCATCAGTTTGCACAAAATGCTGTTCCCCAAACTTCTGCTTTCAGTTTTGCAATTAAACAAACCCACTCAAACAAACCAACAAAAATCTAAACTGAATTTTAGCTGGCTTTATTTTTAAAAAAAGTTGCAATTTGCAAGCTCCCTGCAATTTCAATGGAAAATTATACATTGGCCTAGGTTTACTGGAAACTGACCCAGGTTTGCTTGGCAGGTATGTGAGTGAGCCTTAGCAAGCCTTTCTATTAATGTGGACTACATTTTTAGTTTTGTAACTAAACTTCCTGGGTCCAAGTCTGGTGTCTACACTTCAAAAAGGATGTTGAAAAAATTGAAAGGATTCAGCAAAGAGCTACAAAAATGATTCAAGAGCTGGAAAACCTGCCTCACAGGGAAAGGTTCAGTAAGTTCAATCTATTTAGTTTATCTAAGGGAAGGTTAAGAGGTGATCTGAGCATGATATACAAGTACTTAGATAGCTAAGTTAAGACAGTGAGGCTCAGGCTCTTTAATGTAGCAGGGAAAGGTACAAGATCCAATGGTTCAAAGCTTAAAGCTAGACAGATTGAAACCAAATAAGGCATTTTATTTTTTAACAGTGAAGGTAATTAATGATTGGAACAACTTATATAAGGACTTGGTGGATTCTCCATTACTTAGGGTTTAAATGAAGATTGACTGTCTATAAGAGTTGCTGAAGCTCAAACAGAAGTTACGGGTTTGATACAGAAGTTCGTGTGTGGATGCCCTGTGTTATGCAGGTGGCCAGATTATGTGACCATAATGGTCCTTTCTGCCCTTAAAATGTATTAAACAAAATGAGTTTCCACACATCAGCTGGCCCAAGTTGCTGTTTCTTTTAAGCATCTCTGAATATAGAGCATTAATGTTTATAATAACCCTTCACAAATTTTTCGGTAAGAAGTTCTTTCCTATGTCAGTGTTTTGAAAATGAATACACACACACACACCCAAAAGCTACAATGTACCTGACTTCTTCACAGGTAGTGAGGAAGGGGGTACAAGGTAACCTCCCATCTTGGTAACCAATGACCTGGCCTCAGTTACTCAAGCCTTTGTCACCGCTCAGCTGGACTAAAGCAATGCAGTATGCAGCTGGGCAAGACTGAAATGAACTCTCCCAGGAACTAGGGACCGTTGGAAACCCACTACCTTCCACTCTAAGTGTAAGGTGTATTTCTTTTACTTTAACTACTAAAACATATAGCAACATATGTATGTATATAATATATATTATTAAAAATTCAAAACCAAAACATTCCTTTGCACACTCATCTCTTCTTAGGAAGAGAATGAATCCCCTTTGTGGATGGCCACTAGTGTGCTGGAGTTCAGGTACTACTCAGGTCATGAGCATGATATAAGAAACTACATTGAATAGGATGCAGACTAGTGCCAGTAAGGCACAATACAGCCTTATATATTATTTTATTTATTTCTCTTTACAGGTGCATCAGAACAACAAGTGTTATAACAAATTTTAATTAGTCATTGTTTTTACCATGCTTTGAAGATATATATCACTAAGTGCCAAGTATTAATTATTAAGTTTACCTAGGAGTACAAGCCAAGATCATGGGTTTTGTTTCTGGACCGGTGTCAGTGAGCATACAAGAACAGCTCTAGGAACAGGGTGCCCAGTCCAGCTCCCATTGAACTCAAAGGGAGTTTGGACTTGATTAGTTAAATATGCACCTTCTGCAGCAGCTGAAGCACATCACTGTTTACATTCTAAGGTAAGTTATTTTCATTTGGTCAGTAGATTGGGAGATTTGTGTGTGTGTGTGTGTTTTAATTTAGAATTTGGAGGAAACTTACACAAACTCAATTCTTGGCAGATAGCACAGGCCAGCAGTAATTGCTAATATATCAGGAATCATTGTCCTATTTTTAAGCACCTTTCGCATTCAGTGAGTCTCATCTCCTCCCACTTATGTTTTGTATAAATCAGCAGGAAGTGAAAGGAGAATGAGACCTTCTGAGATTTCAGAACATTCAATAAAATTATCTTCTATGATTATTTCATGCCATTTAATGCTGAAGCTTGTTTTGAAGGGTATTGATTCCAAAATTAATGTCATATGAAAAGCTATTTAAAACTTCACCCTGAATTCATAATTAATTATATTTGCTTCCTAAAATATTTGTTCACCATACGCCACCCATATCAGAGCTTAAAAAATTTAGATACTTGCCGTATCAGCAAAAAGAAAAGGCGGACTTGTGGCACCTTAGAGACTAACAAATTTATTTGAGCATAAGCTTTCGTGAGCTACAGCTCACTTCATCGGATGCATTCAGTGGGTTTCCTACTTTAATGTAGTTTAATTTTGTTTTGTTTTTTAATGTTCAGCATCCTTTGGGATTTAAATGTCTGATTGTTATGCTGAAGTTGAAGGGGAAATAATGACTTGCATTTTTACAAGATAAATGTAATTACTGCATTTTCCAATCATTAGGTAGGACATGATATTAAATTAATAGATTGAGAGTCTGTTGCAGTTAATAACAGCAACGGTTGAATGCATGTTATTACCTAATTTTTATTTGTTTGTATTTGATTTACAGATGATGCATTATAAAAAAAAAAATCCTACAGTAAAGAAACTTTTCTTTCAGAAAATCATGTGTAATTTGTTTAGACATTCAACATATACATTTTTATATTCAGTGCCAGATCAAGCCATAGCCAAATATCTAGGGTCACAGCTCCTGGAGTGATGTGAGAATATCAGTTTTAATTTAAAAAAAGAGAGATTACAACAAAATGGTTACAGAGAAAACCCTTAAAACATGAACCAAGTGTAGTCAAAGCATTGATGGCTGTCTGAAACTGTAGACAGCCTGCTACCATAGTTCTAAAAAGAGTCTTACCAGAGATTACTTAAACTGGAAGACATAAGTGAAGCAAGTTATTTTGTTCTCTTTTGTGTTCAGTTATTTTGTATGTCTGATAGCACTTTGAGTAGTAAGTTTCACTGTTTTGTGGATGGTTTCAGAGTGGTAGCCGTGTTAGTCTGAATCAGCAAAAAAACCGAGAAGTACTTATGGCATCTTAGAGACTAAAATTTATTTGGGCATAAGCTTTCGTGGGCTAAAACCCACTTCATCGGATGCATGCAGTGGAAAATACAGTAGGAAGATATATACGCACAGAGAACATGAAAAAATGGGTGTTGCCATATCAACTGTAACAAGACTAATCAATTAAGGTGGGCTATTATCAGCAGGAGAAAAAAACTTTTGTAGTGATAATCAGGATAGCCCATTTCAAACAGTCACTCAATTTCAGACCTAAAAGTCATAATTCTCCAACAAAAAAACTTCAAAAACAGACTCCAACGAGAAACTGCAGAATTGGAATTAATTTGCAAACTGGACACTGTTAAATTAGGCTTGAATTAAGACTGGGAATGGATGGGTCATTACACAAAGTAAAAACTATTTCCCCATGCTAATTTTTCCCCTACCGTTACTCACACCTTGTCAACTGTTTGAAATGGGCCATCATGATTATCGCTACAAACGTCTTTTTTCTCCTGCTGATAATAGCCCACTTTAATTGATTAGTCTTGTTACAGTTGATATGACAACACCCATTTTTTCTGTTCTCTGTGTATATCTATCTTCCTACTGTATTTTCCACTGCATGCATCCGATGAAGTGGGTTTTAGCCCACGAAAGCTTATGCCCAAATAAATTTGTTAGTCTCTGAGGTGCCACAAGTACTCATAGTTTGTTTTGTGGATGTATGGTCGCAAATCCTGTCTCATGCACTGCTCGGGGGGAGCTATGCTCATCCCAAACCACGGCAAGAGGGCCTTTACCTCCGTCCCAGCAGCAGGCTTCCTGCTGTATGAGTCTTGGGTCCATAAAGAGTCTCTTTTCTAGGCAAAAAGAAAAGGAGTACTTGTGGCACCTTAGAGACTAACCAATTTATTTGAGCATAAGCTTTCGTGAGCTACAGCTCACTTCATCGGAGGCACAGAGCTAGGAAGCAGCAAGAGTAAGGGGCCAGGTGAGGGAAATCCCCTTTAAGCTTCATAAACCTGTGTAAGCCTGGGGAGCAATGGCTCCCCCTCACTCCTTGGATCCCCTACACAAGGCCAAGGAGCAACTGGAACCTGTTTGTTATTCCACAGTCCCTATATGGATCTGGAAACTGAGGCAGGATCGTGGAGCCTCAGACCCCTGCACAGAGCTAGGAAGCAATGGAAGCCTGGGGCAGGGATCCCCCAGCTTCTCTCAGAGAACTGTACAGAACCAGGCAGCAATGGAAGCTTGTGGAGGATACCTAGAAAGCATCCCTTCGTCCCTCCTCATCTCTCTCCATGGAGTGGGGAAACAATGGGAGCAGGGAAGTAAGGCAGCAGAGAAGGAGGGGTTCTTCACCCCCATGATTCCTCTACAGGTCTCAGGAAGGAGTTTGGAATCTGAGGAGCTTTGCCTTAAGAGTGCTGCTGCTACCAAAGAGGCAGGAGTATCATCTTGATAGGACGGTAGGAGAGAGGACCTGGCACATTTGTTGGTGTTACTCACAGGCCTGCTCCTCCTACCATATTGTAAAAATGGGGTAGAAAAAAGAAAGAAAGACAAGTTGTGCTATTTAAAGGATATTGTATCAAAAGTTTAAAGTGGTTTGCAAATAATTATTAAAAGAAAAAAAAACGCAGGTGACCATGTCTCTTTAAAGCTCATTGAAAGGGCTCTCCTAGAGTGAGTCATCTGCAGCTGTAGAGGAACCCTCAGAGGCAAACTTCCACTAAAGCTTGCCTTCTCCCTTGAAACTAAATAGAGCTGTCAGAGATCCCAGAGACAGGGGCAGAAGAAAAATACCATGATTCATTTCTTCTGAGTTAGATACACATGGGAGATTTCCCTAGTGTGCCAATGGTGTTTTGTTTTTAAATCACACAGATCTGTACAGGCAACATTGTGCAGCTTCAGACTCTTACCCACAAGACTGAAATACCCAAAAGCCCATCCCCAGGAAATGCACAATAGTGTTGATATGCCTGTTGCTACTAAGGAAGTGGTTTCTGTTATAACCACCCAGCAATCTGCCAAAGCCCAGAGTTTGGACAGTTGCCAGGCTAAATCATACTAAAAGTTTGTTTCCTTTTTAACTCTCTTCTTAACAGATCTTTAAGGTATTGCTGCATCTCACCACCATTTTAAAACTACCTACAAATGTCAGGCTTTTGAGCTGCAAGTAATCTACCTTTTCAATTTAAAAAAAAAAAAAAAGACAAGGCCTCAGAGAATCAAAATTTCCAATAATTAATGGAAATTACTCTCAAATATGATACAGTGGTGAGATGGAGGCTAAGGCAGCTGAGGCTCAGGAATTATCCACAACTGTATCCCCCTCCTGTCAGTAATCCTTTTTTGACCCTTAGCTGGCACTAGAAATATGACATAGTACTGCAGAAAATGCAGTGCATTACACCAGACAATGTTTTGATCTTTGAGACATCAGGCGCCCCCTAGTGGACTTTTTCCTTTGAACATTTGAAACACAGTCTTTCCACAGGTTTCAGAGGAACAGCCGTGTTAGTCTGTATTCGCAAAAAGAAAAGGAGTACTTGTGGCACCTTAGAGACTAACCAATTTATTTGAGCATGAGCTTTCGTGAGCTACAGCTCACTTCATCAGATGTTTACCGTGGAAACTGCAGCAGACTTTATATACACACAGAGAATATGAAACAATACCTCCTCCCACCCCACTGTCCTGCTGGTAATAGCTTATCTAAAGTGATCAACAGGTGGGCCATTTCCAGCACAAATCCAGGTTTTCTCACCCTCCACCCCCCCACACAAATTCACTCTCTGAATTCACTGAATTTGTGTGGGGGGGGTGGAGGGTGAGAAAACCTGGATTTGTGCTGGAAATGGCCCACCTGTTGATCACTTTAGATAAGCTATTACCAGCAGGACAGTGGGGTGGGAGGAGGTATTGTTTCATATTCTCTGTGTGTATATAAAGTCTGCTGCAGTTTCCACGGTAAACATCTGATGAAGTGAGCTGTAGCTCACGAAAGCTCATGCTCAAATAAATTGGTTGGTCTCTAAGGTGCCACAAGTACTCCTTTTCTTTTTGAGTCTTTCCACAGAGGACTGCATACTGTACATATTACAATATGGCTGTCAGTTTCAGAGCCATTTTTAGTTTGCATGTAGAATGATGACATATGCTTTCACTTTTATCTCACTGTTGTGCACATAATTCTTGTTTAATTTTTTGACATATGTAGGCATTATTTTTCCCCATGCATAAAATGTAAGCTATTCCAAATATATACACCATCCAAAGGCAGTTTGATTCTCTTGGACACACAGAAATGTCTTGCCTCAAAAATAGAGAAAATAAGATTGTAAGTCTACTCAACAGTAGCAGTCATTGTTTAATATCCGATTTTAGTGGTGCACTGAAATCAAAGGATTAACCACATCAATTTAATGTTAAGAATATAACAAAAATTTTAGACTTCACATTAACCCTTGAGACATACACAAAGATTCCACTATCAGATATATGTGCTGAATGCTCCAACTTAACATATAGGGAGAGGCATTCAGTCTGATAAATAAGTGTAAACTAAATTTAAAACATTTGTTATAGGTTACAGTCAGTCTGTCTGTTATTCTAGATTCGTAGTTGAAGGCCCAAAATGCATCATTTTTACAGGTACATTCTTACTACGTAAAGGTGCAGAACTCCTGAGGAACTGAGATAAGTTTATTTACAGAGTTAACAATAGAGCAGAAGACAAACACACAAGGCAAACTCTTTTCAGTTAAAATGAAATAACCAGACTACTGGGTCTCTGAAAGCTGGACCTTTTGGTGGCTTATTGCTTACTGCAATTGATCTTTAAAGTGCTGTATCACCACACACTCATAGCTCTTGAAGCTGTTTCTTTATGACAAAAAGAAAAGGAGTACTTGTGGCACCTTAGAGACTAACCAATAACTTTTCACTGTCACGGTGATGGGCATGATATGGTGCCCAAATCCCTGGATGCCTCTCTAAGGTGCAGAGACAATTTGAACATATAAAATGTATGCTGTTGCTCCTGCTGGCATTATTTTGTCATCTTGGACTTCCTTCGGGGATTTAAATGTGCCTGTTAGCTTAGACAGGGCCTCTTACTCCCATACAGGGGTTGATCAGACCCAGCGCAGTGTCAGGCATCCTGACATTATGTGGTGCTATTTATGGCCACGTGGTGACTGGCAAATGGCAGCCACTCTGCAGCTAGTTTTGTGACTGTAACTCTTTCAGATTGAAGAGCTCCTGAGAATTAATGTCTCTTGTGTCTTGCTTCATTTCAAATAGTAGCAATTGCAAGTAAACAGTGGCTTACAGGATCTCATCATGAGTCTTGTATATTTCTTCATGCAAGTGCCTCTCTTGTTTTCTGTATCACATGGACTCTGTCATGGTTTAAGTTGATTTGATACAATATCTTTTAAGATGATGTCACAGTCAATGACTCATTGAGGGCAAAGATTACATGGTAAAGCAAAAGCCTAGCAGCTGTTTAAATAGATTATCCTTGATACATTTACAATAAAAATGCAAGTGCTAAAATTGTTCAGTGTGGTGTTAGGATAGGGAATCTGGTCTAAAACACAGCATTGGAAGTCCTGGTTCTGCCAATGACTATGTGACTGCTTTGTGCCTCAGTTTCCCCTTTGTAAAAATGGTTATACATAACCATTTCATGCGGTTTTGTAAAGATTAACTAACGTGAAATGCTTTCAGTTGGAAAGTGCTACAGAAGTGCAGGGTATGATAAGAACATTTATTACAATTCTAATAGCAGTAGTCATTAAGCACAGGAACATATAAGAGGGTCCACGCTGAGGATAGGATTCACAAAAGGACTTAGGCACCTGGCTGTACTTTAGATGCCGAAGTCCAACATGTAGGCACCACAGCTATTCACAAAGTCCCTGCTCAGCTGCCACCTAACCCTGTAGGTGCCTAAAGTTCTCTAGGTACCTACGTTTCCCTGTTAAAGTTTCCCCTCTTAAAGTACCCATTGTTACACATTTGGTTTTTTTTAACCCAAATCTCTTAGTGACTTTTACTCTGTGTGAGGTGGTGTCAGGAAATAAATCAAGGGAGACACGGCCATCCGACCGATAGATGGCTGGCACAAACAGGACAACACAACAGTGCTTTTACTTAAACCTTAACTTTACTTAGTATCAAACATTTACACACGTCTGCAACAGGTTAGTAAAACACCCCCAACCCTTGATAATTACCAGAGCTGAGTGTGGCTTTCGAGTGGCACAGCAACAGGCTTCCATTGGACAAACTTCCGTCTGCCAGTGGGGACCCCAAGATGCGTCCAGAGGGAGCATCCCTGAAGAAACCCTCCTAAAGAGTCTACCTACCTCAAACTTTTTTCCTTATTTATACATCAGTAATACAATGACATATCACTGAAAGAAAACTTGCTAATCAAGCAGTTTTTAAAGGTCAAGCAAAAGGTTTTCTTATGATCATCAATTAACCAGATATGTTTTTTTCAGAGTGTACATGCCTTGGGACCCTGAGAGACACATTCCTAAGAGCACATTATAGACATGCTTCCTGTTTTTCTAAAGTACCTATAACAGCATTTTCAACATTCTTAGCAGGAAGGACGCGGGGTCAAGCTGCCCTTTCTGTGGTACCCAAAACCTCCTCCCCTCCTGCCTTGGTTAAGCTAAAGCCGCTACATGACCAATTTACGGCCTGCTGACTTGGCTGCTTTTAGCAATAAGCAATAGTGGTTTCAGGCACTTTACTGGTTTGCCAAAGTCTTCCCATACACCATGGCACCTACATTTCAATAACTGACCATGTGCACAGCCGTGAAAGTCCTGACATGATGCAGTAGCTTGGCACCTAACTCATATCTAAGCTCTAGCAGGCTTCTCAAACTGGGCATTCCCCTGTTTCTCTTACATTTGGGATCCGAGCCAGTAGGCATGCTCAGAGCACACCTAAACCCATACAAGGTGGCTAGAGAAGGGGCAGGAGGAAATGGGAGAACCATGTTCTACTCCCCCAGCTCCATTTTTAATTATTTATATACAGTGGAACAGCTTCAACAGGATAAGTTAAGAGAAACCAGCCCTGGAATATTCCATAACCTGGTGGATACAGCACTCACCTGCGAGACCCAAGCTGAAATCCCTTTTTCACATCAGGCAGAGGAGGAAACTGAAACAGTCTTCCACATCCTGGATAAGTGCCCTAATCATTGGGCTAAAAGTTATGGGTGGGAGGCACCACCACATCATCCTGCTCCTTGACTTTTCTTCAAAAAGAGCTGACCAGGCTTAGGTGCCTAACTGCATGAGAGGGTTTATGGCTGTGAAGCCTGAGTGGAGCCAGGCGCTTCCCTCCAGCCTTGTCATAGACACCTGTCTCCCTGAGGGGGATGCGGTTTAGGACAGATCCTTCTCAGCATCCTTTCTACTGGCTAGCTTAGGTGGCTCCCTGCTCAGCATGCTGGCCTTTGTGCATTGTACAGGGAGCCAGGCACCTAACTCAGGGATGTGAATTCCACTGAGCATTGCAGCACCATTTAGTCCTAAGGGTCAAATTCTGGCTTTAGCTATTTTTGCACAATTCTCATTCAAGTCAGTGGGAGTTATATACACATGTCTGAGGACAGACTTGAATTGGCCCAGTGGCAATTACTGGCTCCCTTAGTCTATAGGTACTATTTTCCTAGGCCTTAGTTGTACCAGTTCCTAGGCCTCCCACCTTGAAACAGCAGCAAGTTCAGAGGAAAGGGTGATTCCCAGCAGATCAGTCCAACCTTTTGAAGTTATATTATCACTCTGCTCATGGGACTGTTTATATTGTGAGATTCTTAGCTTCTTTGTTCAGTGCAAGAGACTTCTTTGTGATCACATCTAATGCTGTGTAATGCATAAGCCAGTGCATGGGGAACTCTTGGGAGGAGGGAAAAGCAGCAGATTCCCTTTCTAGGACCACTTTCTTCCCCCATGAAGAGACTGTAACTGAGGTTCAATGAGGTGGTAAATATGGGAGCATGATTTATCCCATCATGCCTTGGGTTGTCACAATGTATATAATAAATGTCCTGAAGTGACTTATGCTGTTTGCACAGTCGAACCAGCAAAGGTAAGTATTGGAGAAAGAGATATAATTCCTCTAAGCAAAATCTGTCATTTCCAAGTGTAGGATGTTATCACTAATAATTTGAGCTAAGTGTGTGGTCTCTTGTTCCTTCTTGAAATCAACCTACTTTCAACTATCCACAGAAGGCTCCTTATGGTTGTAGGTCTTAACGTCACAGCTGGAAGCCCTGACATTGCCAAGTCCTGTGCTGGCTGCTTGTGAAAAATCATTCATGAATTTAGCTACAGCCAAAACAAGAAAAGTAAGAGCAGAAAAAGCCCAGCAGCTTGAAAGCAAATCACCTTCCTTAGGTTATCAGCTGCATCTGAATTAGTTCAATGAAGAATGCAATTAGTTTCCAGAATCTTAGAAGCTTTAGAGGAAAATAACAAACAAGTGTACTTACCACATTAATGTGTGTGTTTAAATCTTTTGATTGAAATGGGTATATCTAAGAGTTGACAGTGCTCAAAAGACTTGCATTTCATCACTTTGATCATCTTTGTCACTTGCCTCTGGATCCTTTCCAGTTTCTCTACATGAGTAGTTCTCAACCT